GTGGCCAGATATCAATGTTGCAAAACATTTGTCTTTTGATGGAGTTTGCCTGTACAAGCCAGTAGATGGCTCTGGGATAACTGATGAATGGATTGTTGAACATGTTACTCCTCATATTGCAAGTTTGTTTGGTAATGAGGTAGCTGTGATTCTTGGAAAGGCGTTGCTTTGGGCTGCATTTGAACCTTCGATGATTGGGACTATTCCAGATGATATCAGAAGGAATGTGATGGCATCTCTTGTACAGCTGAATGAAAGAGTTAAAGCTAATGGTGGTACTGGTGTTGCAGTTGATGATGGTGCCAATCCTATTYGAAAAGCTGAAATGGTCCCAACTGAACAAACTGGGCAAATACATTTTGATGAGCTTTATGAACCAGAGGTTGATGGGGAAGCTGCTGCTGCTGCTGGGAATGGTCCTTTTGGTGGAAACTCTGCAATGGGAATGAGTAGATCTCATCAACAGTGGATRAATGTGATGTATGCAAAGATGCACGACTTACAAGGGAGGATGTCCAACATGGAGAACCTGCTGATAAAAGAATTTTCCTTACAGAAGCAAAGAAACAAGAGGCTTCAAGATGTTTGTAATTGAGCTGCCATGGCACCAGTAGCAAGAAGGAGGGTGAGGCAAAGTCTTGTTAATCCAGGTTGTGCTGGTACTGCTGGTGGTGGTGAAGAAGGACAGCGAGCAATCCTGCAGAAGAATCCTGCGAGTCTGGATTTGCAGGGAACAAACCAGCAAAGAGCTTCACTGCAGCTGAAAGGAACTCCAAGGAAAACAAGTTTGTGTACTGCAGGCAGAAGCCCTTTTGGCAATGCATTGAAAGAATTATATGGACTAGGTCTGGTAATGCTCAAGATGCCATCAGCACTGTTTACAGGCAGGAGAAGACTGTAACAAAGATTCTCAAGGCTCTTGCAAAGCATGAAAGGGAAGGTGGACACTCAATGTTGAGGTAACTGGCTGGTTGATTGCTGTGTTGCTTTGTTGCTGTGTTGCTTCGTTGTTGCGTTGTTGCATTGCTGCATTGCTGCATTGCTTTGGTTGCTGAGTTGCTTCAGTTGGTTTGATTGCTTTGTTGCTTCGTTGCTGTGTTGCTTTGATTCAGTGCTTTGTTGCTTCGGTGTTTTGGTTGCCTAGTTGTTGCTTCAATACAGACGCGTTGCTTCGTTTGCTTCAGTTGCTGCGTTGCTTCAGTTGCTTTGTTGCTTCGGTTGCTTCGATACAGATGCGTTGCTTTGTGTTGCTGCTTTGCTTCATTGCTTAGTTGCTTTGCTTTGATACAGACGCATTGCTTTGATACAGAAGAGTTGCTTCATTGCTTCAATGGACACGTTGTTTTGAATGTGTTCTTTGCTTGCTTGGACGAATTGCTTCCTTGAATGCATTCCTTGCTGGGCCTTGATTCTCCGTGTTGTCGTTGTTGTTGTTTTGTTCCTTCCTTACTACTTGTCCCCCTTAAACGCCATTAAAATAGTATGTTAACTGTGACTGCTTTTCGCTAACTGTGACTGCTTTTGCTGTTTGCTATCCTCAACAAGAGGAGCAAGTTTAATAGCTGATAAGAAGATGGCCCCATTGTCGTGATTGTGATTGTGAATTGTCGAGAAAGACCTTCATGACTTGTGTTTTTCTCACAGAATTTGCCTTCTCAAAAATTGTGTCAGTAATTATTCTCAACTGATCACTATCAGTTGAGGTTTTTGATATTGTGCTGGTCAGTAGGATGATAGCAAAGTGTACGTACTTAGACTTGTACATGATTCTCTACTGTTGCATTTTTTGTTGCATTATGGTCTAATACCCCCACTGTAAAGATCAATTCAAAAGGATTTTTTCTATCGTACAGTAACGGTAGTAGTCAAATAGCTGAACCTAATCATACCTTGTCAAGTACGTATGATATGTACGGTACCTCCTGTAAGGTAAGAGAGAAATCAACAATCAATTTTCTGACCAATTTTGGCCATACTGGCTGTTAGTAATGAAGAACCAAGTCCCCCCAGGCCCAGAATTGTGTAACAATCATGACACACAGCACTCTTCTCAACCACTAGTAGTACTAGTATGACCAATCATATCCCCAAAGGGGATCTCATTTGGGCCAGTTTGAGAGCACTTCTAATGGTCTCATAAACACTGTTTTGATCATTTCAAAGCAACCAATTGATTCAACAAAAACTTGAAATATTCCCCCCCTCCACTGGTATGTAGTAGTACATGTATTCAAAATGTGACTGTATGTAGTAGGATTACTACTACAGTGTACTAGTAAATCTACTTATGCAATAGTACATACTAACATAGCAGAGTTGAGAGAGAAGTACAAGAAGGTGTAGGATGCTAATACAAAATCACTGCCATATGCAAAGTGGAATGATGAAAAGGAGGCACTACTGACCTGGTCGAGGACAAGTCTGATCAATATTGAGGACACAACCTTGGGTAGATAAAGATGCCATTGGGAACATCACAAATGAAAAGAAATAAGAATTCCTCAAGAAAGAGTGCAACCAGTG